GAGATAAAATACACACGTCCGAGCGATGGCAGGGCCCCGCGCGCCGCGTGGTCGGCGCGCCGAGCGCCAAGTCACGACTGCCTGCCTGCCTGCGCGCGCGCGCGGCGGGGCCGGCGAGCGCGCGCTGGCGCTGCCGCGTGCGCCCTCGCGCGAAGGCGCGCGGAGCCCCCCGGGCTGCGGCGCGCCTTCGGCCGGGGGTGCGGCGCCGGCGCCGCCGCGGGGCAGGACCTTCTTCGCCGCGCCGGGGGGCGCCTGCACATGGGGTGGGGGGCTGGGGATCCCTCCGCCCTGCACGGAGCCTCTCCGGCTCCCCCTCCCCTCCTCCGCCTCGTCCCTACTGCTCACATAACGCTCCCGCCTCTACTGCCTACTCCTCGTCCTCCTCCTCCTCCTCCTCCTCCTCCTCCTCCTCCTCCTCCTCCTCTCTCCTCCTCCTCCTCCTCCTCCTCCTCCTTAGACCTCCTCCTCCTCCTCCTCCTCCTCGTCCTCCTCCTCCTCCTCCTCATCCTCCCGCCGTTGCCGTCACAGCTTTTTCCTCGACCACGCACGCGGAAGCGTCAGGACCACTCGAGAGCTTACAGGTCTGCCTATGTCTTCCTGCCGTGCGTGATGCCCCATGTCTCGCAAAGTGCATGAGGCAAGGGCTTATGCTAGCAGCAGCAGCAGCAGCAGCAGCAGCAGCAGCAGCAGCAGCAGCAGCAGCAGCAGTAGCACAGACGCATGAGTCATTACACTTCCTGCCCTCAACACTAGGGGGGTTGGGGGGGCAGGAAGGAGGACGGAGCTGCTTCAGCACCAAATCGGCTGAGGCTCGACTGCCTGCACTGATCGGAGCCGTGAGAATGGGAGGGGGGGCAACGTACACATCGCCGCAGCCAAACGCGTGGACAAAGGCGGTGAAGGCGGCCAGGTCGGTCACAGGTCGTAGCGCAGGTGGCGCAGGTGGCGAAGGACCCAGAGCGAGGCGACACTGAGAGGCGAAGGCGGCCGCAACTACCCTCGCCCTCCCGCGGTGCCTCGGAGAACTTGCCGCCGCCTCCCTCCCGCCATCGGGACCCGCCTCACTTCGGACATCCTCGCGCCGTGGAGAGGAAAAACGACGAAGGGTGATCCGCCATCTCCTGCCTCCAGGGGCCCTCACCCGGCTCCCGGGACCGTCACAAAACGGCTCGAGATAGATAACTGGCCCCCGGAGAGGGGGCGCGAGGCCCGCCCGAGGAAGGCTCCCCTTCCCAGCGTTTGCGGCGGTTGCACCAGGGATGCTCCTCTCCACCAGCGAGGCCACAGATAACGCACGCGCCCAGCCACGCACATGAATCGGCCCCCCTTGTCGCGCAATGCGTACTTTCGAAAAATATGTGGACTCGTGTGCGTGTGCATGTACACTCCGGTCGGAAGAAGCAGGTAAGCACGCGAAGTAGGAAGGCGGTCCAAGTAGATTGGCCGCGGCGCCCAATATATCCTCCAAACCCGCCGATTCTCAGAGATTTCGAGTTATCTCGATCCGATTTTGTCCCGATCTTCGCGTCGTTTTACCCAGCCCAGGCCCAGGATCGGTGCACGCGCCCGCCCTGGCTTGTCCTGGGGAGCGTGCGCCCAGACATCCGACGACTGGAGGCCTCCCAGAGGGGGTCCGAGTAGATGGGGTCAAAGGATCGCGCCGCATCGCCAACGCGTCGCCGATGTATCGGCGATGCCTCGCCGATGTGTCGGCGATGCATCGGCGACGCCGGCGTGGGGAAACAAGGGCGCCACATCGAGCTGCACCATCGATGAATCAGCAAGGCGGTGAGATCCTCCGACCCCCGCCTCCTCCGGCCCCATCTAGGAGGCCTGAAACGGTGGGATCTGTCGGCGGCTCGTGCAGCTGGCACCCCGGGGGGCACCCCAGGGGGCAGGCGGGCACCTCGATCGAGTGCTCCGCCGTGCCCCGAGGAGGCCCAGAAGAGGACAGCGTCGTGGACCCCCAGGCCCCAACGACCCCGCCGATCGCAGACGACACCCAAGCGTGACCATACCCACCTTAGTCGCGGAAAATGTTCAGTCCGCGGCCCCTGAGCTCTGGACCCTCTCCCCCGGGATCGGTTGGTAGTTCAACTGCAGAGGGAGAGCTCTGCACATGCGCCGCTTCTCGCGGGGCCCATCCTGAGCCCAGGATCGGTGCATATGCCCTCCTGCCTTGGCCAGGAAGGCATGTGCACCGATCCTGGGCCCACGATGGGCCTGACCAACATCGATGCACATGTGCATATGAAGGGGCCCCAGTACACACAAATAAATACTCACAAATAAAAATATGTCCCATATTTTCCCATATTTTCTGGGTTTCTGTCTTCCCCCCACTTCCCAGATTTTCCGATATTTTTGGGGGGATCGAGGATTAATTGTGTCTGTGTGTTTCTTTTCCTCCCGTGCACAGTTCTCTTCGCCCGAAGTTGGCAGTGCTATCGAGACCTCCTGCGCGTGCGAGCTCGCTTCGTCGCGCGCGCAGCGATCTCTGCGGGGCTGCTGCCGCCGCTGCTGCTCCCACCCCCCCCCCTGGGAGTTTCGTGTCCCCCCCCCCCCCCCCTCCCTCTCGGGGTTCCGTGGATGTGGCGCGCGGTCGCCAAATCCGTGGATCGGGGGAGGCGCCCTTCCCAAAATGCGGCCGGCGCCGCCTCGTATTCGACGGCAGAAAGCGGCGATTTGCCCCCTGGCAACGGGAGCCGGCGCTGATCCACGCCGCCTCGATCCCCGTGCTGGCGATCGCCTGACCCCTCTCCCTGCCTCGCTGCGTCTCCCTTCCGCCTCTCCCCGCCGTCCGCCCTCCCCTCCCCGGGGCGCGAAGCCCACTGCGCCCCGCGACCCTCCCGAAGTCTGGGTCGGGGGCACTTCGCCCGCACATGCGTGGATGCTCGCACATTCTCCGCGCTCCTCCGCATGTTCTTCGCCAGCTTGGATCGAGTCTCTCTCTTACCCTGCTCCCTGAACTTGCACGGGGGTCCTAAAGCGGCCCAAAGATTCAACAAGACCCTATCGTCGGAGTCGGAGATCTGCGAACTCAGACTCCGGCGTCATGATGTTGTTCGAAACGTCGACCCCTGGAGGTCTCGAGCCATTCCCCGGGACCGGCTTTTCATCGTGAATCGTTCTTGATTGTTGCAGGGCCTTTAGAGGACAACACCTCCGGTCGTGACTTCTTCGTGTCCCGAGGGGGACCGGGCATACGCCCTCCGTGGATTGGCCAACAGAACGTGATCAACAAAAAAAGAGCCCCTAAACCTTTCTTGAGCAGGGACCGACCGTCCTGGCATCCCTGTCCTACCACGAAATGCTCTTGGAACCCAAGAAAGTTCGAAGAACAAAAACAATGTTTTTAGAACATAAGCCCGATGCGTTAAAACAAGACAGCCCCAGCCAGAAATGTTCAAAGAAAATTTCGTGGAAACCACAAAAGGTTCTCAGAACATTGTTTGGTAGGCCTATAGGCACGCCCGGAGGCTCCGCCACTGCTTGACTTTGGGAGGAGCCCTAAGTTGGGCGGGCCCAAAAAATGAAGGATAGGGGTCTTTCCCGCAGACGCCTCGGACCAAACCGCCCAGACGTACCATCCCTGATACGGAGACTCGGACCTCAGCAAGGCCGCGTCTTTCTCGTGCTCTTAGGGTTAATGGGGGTCCTTTGTGCTCGAGAAGAGCGCGCCTGGTTTTGGGGCGGGCATGTCCTTTTACAGGCGGATTGTGGCGGACAGCGTAACCAGAGTCAACAAAGATGTATGAATGATCCAACGTACTCCAAAAACGACGGCCCCTGACTACTCCAGATTTCGTAATAAAGGGAGGGGAGTCTCATTTCGGGGGGGTCTCTTCCAGGCTATCTTGGAGGGCCTGGGGGGGTCTGGGGACGATGTTTTGGAGGGTTCTCCCACGGGGGAGGTCTGAAATGGCTTGTCTTGGAGGGTCCAGACCCCCTCCCTTTTATTACGAAATCTGGAGTCTGTTGTGGACCATTCTCTCATACTCCTCCTGCAGACGGACAGGCCCGACCTAAGACGAGCCCGGCGAGCGCCAGCGAGCGGGCCGGGAGCCAGTCGGCAAGGGCCCGCGGGAGTCGGAGGCCGCTCGAGAGCGGGAGGCGCCACGGCGCGGCGCGGCTGGCCTCCCGCCCGCGGCGCAAGAGCCGCGACCTCCCTCCTCCTCCTCCTCCCTCCTCCCTCCTCCTGCCTCCTCCTCCTCCTCCTCCTCCTCCTCCTCCTCCTCCTCCTCCTTCAAGCCCAGAGCAAGGTGGAGCGCGGCGCTGCGGATCCAAAAGGAGGACCCACCGCCGCAGGATGGCTGGGAAATGTTCCGGGCGCCTCGCGCGTGGACGGGGCACGCAAACAAATGCACACAACCCCCAAGATTTTCCACGTGTTCTCACGCTGTCTGGAATGTCGTCCTCCCCCCCCCCCTCCCAGGTTCTCCCCCCGATCTTCTCCCCGGGATCGGGGGTTGAGTGTGTCTGTGTGTGTTTCCGCCTCCGGAGAGATCTGGGCGCGCGGCGCTACTTTTCTTGCTCGCGCGGTGAACCAGTCGGGTCGGGCGAAAGGGGGGGATTGGGAAAAGGGGGGTTACGAAATTTGCTGCATGCAGCTGGTTTCGGCCTCACCGAGGGGCCCATTCCTCGATACATAGCCGCCTCCGGCGCTGGGAGGCGCCGGGAAAATCAGCTACGTGAGCTGATTCTCAACCCCCCCCTTTGCTATCCCCCCCTTTCGCCCGACCCGAACCAGCCACACTGTACACACCCCCCGCACTGCCCCACAGCCGAGACGGAGCGGGCAGCTGAGTGGCGAAGGCTGAGGCTCCTCGGCCCCGCGCCACGACTTGGCGGCGCGCACAAAGGGGGTGGGGGGAGGGGGGAGGATGAGGAGGAGGAGTAGGAGTAGGAGTAGGAGGAGGAGGAGGAGGAGGAGGAGGGGAGGAGGAGAGGAGGAGGAGGAGGGGGAGGGAGGACGAGAAGGAGGAGGAGGAGGAGGAGGCGGAGGCGGATGAGGAGGCGGAGGAGGAGGAGGAGGAGGAGGAGGAGGAGGAGGGGGAGAGGGAGGAGGAGGAGGAGAAGGAGGCTGCTTTTAGAAGGCGCCGGCCTTATGTCTATAGATAAGGGCCGCGCCTTCTAAGAAGCAGGGGTGGCTGAACGACGGCTCACGGGGAGGCAGAGCGCACGAGAGGGCGCAGCCAAAGACTGCCTGGCCCTGGTCGCGGTGTCACAGGCGTCCTCACCGACACGCGAGCTCCGGTCCCGACCCCGTGTGCGCCTGTGCCGCGCACACAGGGGGGGGAGGAGCCCGAGGCGGAAACGAGGGAGAGCACGACTGGTGCACGGGGCAGGATTGCGTTGACTGCGCAGCCTCCGAAAAGACATACGGCGAGCCTCCCCCAGCCACAGCGGGCGTGAACCCTACTCTGGCGCTGAGCTTGTTCTGCCCCAAGTTCAGAAATGCTGCGGTCGGACAGCCTCCAGCCGTGAACCAACAGCCGAGGAGGAGGAGGAGGAGGAGGAGGAGGGTCTGATCGGGAAGGAACTCCGCGACAGGGCTCCAGCAGGAGCCACCATTGTCGGGGGCGTGCAGCCATCCAAAATTGGGGCTGCAGGCCAAGGAGGACGACAGCACGAGGTGCTCTCTGCAAGGTTTTGAAAAAATGAGTGAAAAACAGCGTCTGACCAGACGGCGTCGGAATTTACCCGCACAAGCTCATTGGCGCAAGCAAGCGCAACGTATTCAGCGCCTCCGGCGCATGTCGAAACTTACATACGCGCAGCTCCTGTAGCAATTGTCCCGGCACTGGTGGAGCACTACATCACCGCCTCCCCTGCAGCTGCAACTGCTGCTGGCTTTCCATCACGAGCGCAGTCAGAATCCCGGCGCCGAACATGGAGCAGACCGCTACGACGGACGGGATGAAGAGCATCGGCATGCCCGCGATACCGTGGCCGCTGGTGCAGCCACCGCCAATGCGACTCCCGAACAGCATCAGGAAGCCGCCGATGAAGGCCATGGCCTCCTGCCCCACGCCCTGCACGCTCGCGTTCCCCGACATCTCGTTGGAGAGGAACGCGCCCAACACGCTCGCGCACAGGTACGGCACCTGCCAGTGCCGCTCCAGCGCGCCGTTGAGCCAGTCCGCGCTGCTCGAGGCATCGCCCTTCGCGCCGCCCCCGCCGCTCTGAGCTCGCTGCCCCGACTCGCACACGCCGTGCTCCAAGGCAGCATGGAAGGCATCCTTAAGGGGGCCCCAGGAAACACAAATAAATACGCGCAAATAAAAGTCATTCCCCATATTCTCCCATATTTTCTGGGCTTTTGTCTTCCCCCCACTTCCCATATTTTGGTATATCTTCCTGGGGATCGACGATTCACTGTGTCTGTGTGTGTGTTTTTCCCCTCTGGAGTCCTGGAGCATGAGCTGCGCATAGGCCTTGCTGCTGCCCATGCTGGCGCCCGCCACCCCCAGGCTGACCAGGTTCACCAGCCCGATGCCAAACCTCGGGAGCGGCAGAGTGGGGTGTCCAAGAGGGGGGGGTGCAAATCATGACCGGCGGCATGTGCGCGGCCCAGCGGGGGGGCCAGGGACGTAATAAGACAAGAAGAAGCGCCATGAAACCTGGGGAGATACCATGACCCCCGCCGTGATATCCCCCCCCCCCCCCCTAGTCATCACCCCCCTCTTTGCCGCCCCCGAAGACCCGGCCAGGCTCGGGGGCCAGGCGCCCCGCGTGCCGGGCACCAGCTCCGACTCGAAGCCGATGGCCAGCTCCATGGCGAGGCAGAACGCGGCGCACGCGGCGAAGACCCCCAGCATGCACCCGCCGAAGGGGAGGCCGAAGCTTGGCGGCGCGCGCACAGGGGGGTACACCCTGCGAGATGCTTAGGAAATCATGGGCCAAGAAATTCATAGTCTCAGAACTTGAGGAAGAGCTCCACATTTCTATAGATTTGCATTGAAACGTTAAGAAGAATCGAGACTCTGGCCGAAAACTTACGTTTTCTTAAGCATCGCCTAAGGTGTATGGGGAGGGGGGGAGGCTTCTGAGAAGCACCCCTGCCTCTTAGCAGGCGCGGGCCTTGTCTACGAATGTAAGGCCGGCGCCTCCTAAGAAGCAGCCTCCTGCTAAGAAGCCGTCTCCCCTCCCCCTATACCCCCCTCCGCGCGCCGCCAAGAAGCGCAGGTCCAGGAACTCGCCGCGGTACTTGCGCTCGCGGTCTTCTGCGGCCGCGGCGAGACCGCCGCTGCCGCCGTCACTGCCCGCGGAAGACACGGCCGGCACCGCGGCGGCGACGGCGCGCGGCTGGGTCCTCCGACGCCACGAGCCCAGCGCAAACTCATAGAGGTTGTGCACCAGCGCCCCCGCGAAGCCACCGAGCAGGGTGATGTGCGCGTTGTGCACGCCGGTGCCGATCTGCGGCAGCACCATCCCAGGGCACGCGCAACCCAGCACCATGCCGACGCCCAGGATGGCGCCACCGAGCGCGGCACGGGGCAGCGGTGTTCCGCTGCGGAACCTGCGGACGCGCTCAATGACGTCGGAAGCGTTGAAGAGAAATGAGCTCTCCCACACGTAGAACGACAACGCCGAGCCGCCCACCGCGCCCACGAACATCTTCAGCATGATGTTGCGCTGGAAGATGAACTGCTGCCGAATCGCGTCGGGCTCGTACACGTGCGACCGCTCGAACAAGAAGCCGAACACAAGGCCCACTGCGGTGAAGACGAGCAGCCGCAGGGCGCTGCCGAGGAACCCGCCAGGGAGGATCGAGCCGGCCATGGTGCAGGAGGCTCCCTGGGCAGACACCTGCCCCGACCCTGGGGCTGCAGCAGGAGCGGATCGGGCCAGACGCTTGAGCCAAACTTAGCTGCGTGGGGCGGTGGGCGCGCGGCGCCACCTGGATGCTCATTCTGGGGACCTTCCTGGAGGCACTCGCTCCACTCGCGCGTCGAAGCTGCGCCGACCGTCCGTCGATTGGAGCGGCGACCTCGAGTCGAACCATATAGTCGAACCTGCAGCGAGCTGGGATCGAACTTGTTTCGAATTGGGGTCGAACCAGAGTCGAACAGATCCGCATGTGTTCCCTGAACTTCGCCCCATGGCCAGTATCGAAAGGCGTCGGCACGGGGACCAGGAGGGA